ATTGATATCCTGTCGCCTTTACGAATGATGGTTTTGAAATTGTTCTGAGCAGGTTGGTGGCATGAGGTACGTTAATTTTTAATCTGTATTGCAAGTTGCAACTGCTAGAAACTTAATCTCTCATTTTAGTTGCATGGATTTGCGAGAATGGCTTACCATGGATCATATTTCCTAGCAAATTTTTTCTCGGTTTGTTTCTTGGGCCACATTTGTGTATGATTGCATTTTCTGAGCTTTCTAGCTAACAAACCGATGAAGTTGGTTGAGAGGAACTCATCTCCTATTCGATAATACGGCACCACTACTGATACCTCATGCAATCTTCAACAATGAATAAAATCATATACAATCCCTCCAACTGGGTCATTTTTTGTATTTGTAGCTCTCTTTTGTATTATTTTGAAGCCAACAGGGTTAATGAATTTTTCCTTTTAACAATTTCTTGCAGTGTGACCTGCATCCTGCACTGGGCCACGTACAGTGAGAATCCAAAGTGCCCTCAGTGCAAGCATCCATTTGAATCTCTTAATGTCCACCGATCGCTCGATGGCTGGTATGTTAACTCCAAATTTCTGGCTTCTGTTACACAGGTTCTTGAAAATGGTGATTAACTTCGATTTATCTATCCTATTTTCAACAGCATCCATGATTACATGTTTGAGGAAAGCCTGTGCCTTCTACTCAGAGCCACATGGTTCAAGCCATTGGAAGTACCATCTCACCATGGCACTGCATATGAGGATCCAGATGAGTTCTTCCCGTATGACTACGTGTATGGTTACGGGTACGATTACGAGGAAGATGATATTGATGAAGCTGCATACTACAGCAGCGGCAGTTCCTCATCGAGCAGTGTTATTAGGATTGGCAACAGAAGGTGGGGTGACAATGGGTACGTTAGAGCAGGCCGTTTAGAGGCCCGACCAGTTCATCATCGACCCAATGCCCAGGATTCCGGAGGTGCAGGTAGTTCCTCGTCATCATCTCGTGAACCGAGGAAGAAAGAGGATAAGACCGGGCGTCGTGCAAAGAGGACCCAGAAGCGGGAAGCTGCTGACAAGAAAGCTGCTGAGAAACATCAGCTGCTTCTGGCCAGGCTGGGGCGCCAGTAAACTAGAGACGCCCCTGTTGATCGTGTATCATGCTCGATACGCCAGAAAGACTGACGCTGGTTCCATTGTACAGTACTTGATCCAAGTTTCTTCGTTATTTTTAATTTTTTTCTTCGTTTAACTGAAATAATCAAGGGTGGGTGGGATAAAAGACCCATTAGGAAGGGAGGTTTAGTAGTTGGGATGGAACTGCAGGATGTACATTCCAGAAGTTTGTTGTTCATATTATGCTTGAAGTCGATATCAGTCAGGGTTTATAATTCCTGGCGACTTTCCTGGAACTGCAGGGTTAATTGTTCTTGCATTTCTCCTTTCTGTTTATTTGTATTAGTCTGTTAGCAAAGAAAATTATGTTCTTTCCTCCAAGTTATAGACTATATTTTCAACTTCGTCGACGCGATTTTCACCTATAGAGGATTGAAAAGTTTGGTACCAGTATTTGGGATATACTGAATGCTAGATCGAATTATCACTATTTAGTGTTAGCGAGTACCGGTTTATTTTTTAGGGATTGAGATTTGGAGTACTATTCAGTATTCGAGATTACAGGATGAGATCGGTATATAACGAAATATCGAGAAATACTGAAAATTAAAAATTATTGAAATATAGCATACATGATACAACATTTGGTCATTTCTCAATGTTCCATAATTTAAAAGCTTCCATCCAACTTAATTTTGACTTTCCAGTTTAAATTACTCTCGTCACTCATCTGATCTCTTGTTATTTCTAACACACAAAAAGTAAACACTAGTATTAGTCGTCTCTCTGCCTCCAATTCCTTAATTAAAGATTATCAATAACAAGAATTTGAGATGTCACCTCTCCTCTATTCTCATTATCCATATCCTAGCGCTAGGCAAACTCAAAACTCTTTGTTTGGTCTCTTTGCCCTAAATTAAACAATCAAATCTAATTTATATATTTAATTATTAATTACAAAGGTAATTAATTTCGTATTCGATAATGTCGATTAAGATACTGAAGTATCGATTGGAATACCGAAATATTTAGGGATTTGGATTGAGATTGAGATATCGAAATTATTTAGAAATTGGGATTGAGATTGATTTTAAGGTGTAATTCGATATTTGAGATTTCAGTATTTGCTATTGGGATACCGATACGGTACCGATTTCCAATATATTTTTTTTCGTGATTTCATTATATATTTTCACTCAATTGCATTAATTGAGTGTGCAAATTCCATTGATATGTCATTTTAACATTTTATCAACCCATAACTTCCTCTAATTCCAAAAACTAAGAAAAAGGAGGTTATCCTGCGTGCCCTAGGATCTCACACTTGTTTTTTGCTGATGATTCTTATATGTTCCTGCGTGGCACGCTCCAGGAATGTGACAATTTGATTGAGGTTTTAAATGAGTACGAGGAGCTGAGTGGACAGCGGGTGAATTTAGCGAAGTCAGCGGTATGCTTCAGCAAAAATATTGAGTTGAAGGACCAAGAATTCTTAGTTGCGATACTGGGGGTGGTGGCGGTTGGGGTCCATGATAAATATCTAGGCCTGCCTATCTAAAATGGAGACATTCCGGTATTTAGAGGAAATTGTTGGAGCGACTCCAGGGATGGAAGCAAAGAACTTTATCTTGGGCGGCTAAAGAAACGCTGATAAAGTCAATTGCTCTGGCATTACCGTTGCATGTAATGTCCTGATTCAAGCTGCCTCTCTCTTTGTGTCGTCTCCTGGATAGACATGTCGCCCGTTTCTGGTGGGGTGCTAACGAGGGTCATTCGAAAATTCGGTGGATGTCCTGGCGTGATTTGTGTAGGAGTAAGCATGATGGTGGGATGAGATTTCGCCGATTTGAGCATTTTTAACCAGGCCCTGCTTGCCAAAATTGGATGGCGTATCCTGTTTGAGCCCTAGTTCCTTCTTGCCCAAGTCTACAAAGGTAAGTATTTTCCTAATGGGCATTTCCTTCATGCTAAGGCTCGCTCCCGCCCGTCATGGGGATGTCAGAGTGTCCTGTTTGGTCGGCAGTTACTAGAGATGGGATTAAGATGAGAAATTGGGAATGGGCGATCGGCATCTCTGCTACATTCCACATGGATCCCTCAACTCCAGCTGGATCCCCCGCGGTATAATCCGCAGGTTTTACCGGTCGGGGTGACCCTCCAGTTGCCGAGATAATTTGTCAAGGGGAAGGGCGGCGGTGTGATCTCAAACTTAGCTAGTGGTTTGACCCACCTACTTGCCGTATTATTAAAATTATTCCCCTCCCGCGGCAAAATTTGGAGGATAGGCTCATATGGCATGATACTGCTGATGGGGTGTTTTCTGTTAAGTCTGCTTATCACTTGGCTGTCTCCCTTGATGGGAGGAGGGGTCGCTGGAAGGCTACGACTAGTTGGATGGATAATACTAGTTGAATTCGGTTGTGGGAGGCTAATATTCCCCCCACGTTAAAGGTGTTTGTTTGGCAGATCCTAAATCGAATCTTACCAACTACGGAAGCCCTAACTAGTAAGAAGGTCCCGGTGCTCCCTCATATCCTGGTTTGCTGGGAGAATCCAGAAACGATGGAACATTTGTTTCTAGATTGTCCGGTGGCACGGGCCCTTTGGGGCTATTCGGGGCTGGAGTACTTAGGAGAGGGGCTTCCTCGTCATACCTTCCCTCTATTTCTTAAAAAGCTGATGGCTTTAATTCAGCAGCCGACGCTATTCATGGCATTTGTTGCCGTCCTTTGGCGGATCTGGAGGTCTCGGAACTGGGTAGTCTTTGAGGGTAAGCAGTTTGGGTTCCCTGCTTTGATGCGACAGTTCGCCCAGCAATATGAGGAATGGGTGCGGCTGCCGGTGGATAAAGCTCTTCAGGCCTCTGATCCTATGGTACAACAACCGGTACTGATGGTTCATGCTGATTTTGTTTGTATGTGGAATGGGGCTACTAGGAGCGGCTCTCATTCGGCGGGCGGGTTGGTCCTTATGACCCCTACTCGGGAAGTCCTTCTGGCTAAAGGGGTTCAATTTCCTATAATTGATGATCCCATGGCTTCACAGAAGTAAGATTTGAAGGGGATGCCAAGGTGATCATCGACAAGAATAGGCGGGCCGATACAAGGGACAACCGGTTGGTGTGCGATTCTTGATGAAGTGGTGCTGGGTTTCTCTAGCAAACCCGGGTTTAGTGTTCGATTTGTAGGTCGGAGTAGTAATATGATAGCTCATTTGGTGGCTAGAAAGGCCCTCTCTTTGTACCCGACTATGAGTCGTTTTTTTTATTTTCAGTCGTGACTGATCTCCAGGATGTAACTACCTATTCTTTGAATCAATACATGATTGTCTTTTGTAAAAAAAAAAGGGTAAATGACACATTTGGTCACTGAGATTACTAAATCGTGTCATATTTAGTCACTAGAAAAATTTAATATCAATTTTGGTCACTCGAATTACTGACACATGTCACATTTGGTCACTCTTCTGTAGCCTCTGTCCAACTCCGGTCCTCGAATTATTGAAAAATGTCACATTTAGTCACTCGTATTACTGAAACATGTCACATTTAGTCACTCTCCCAAAAGTTTCCGTCCAACTACATTAATGGAGTTGGACGGAAACTGACGGGAGAGTGACTAAATTTGACCAGTTTCGATAATTCGAGTGACCAAAATTGATATTAATTTTTTCTAGTGACTAAACATGACACAATTTAATAATCTCAGTGACCAAATGTATCATTTACCCAAAAAAAAAAAAGTTTACCAAAACCCAGAGGAGCTAACAGACGGTAGCGGGACAACAGAAGCCCACAATAAAAAAGCAACAAGAAGTGAAGGGTCCAGGTCCGGCCCAACCGAGAAGGAAATGACTTATTGGGTCCGACCCATGCGAAAATACGGATTGTTTCCCGAGTTTGGACTGCTTTTCTCTTCTTTTGTTTCTTCCTTGCGGCAAACAAAAATGGCTTTCGAGAGACTGGAGTCAGAAGTCTTGCGCCTTCCCCTGCAACTAGATTGCGTTCAAAATGGCGGGAGAGTCAAATCAGCTGGAGCAGCAGTCCGACTCCGGAGTCAGCCCGTCGCCGGAGACTGTCGACGCGCTGCTTGAGGTGCGTCATCTGTTTCCATCTATATCGGCAAGTTTTTTCCTCCGTCTCAACCTGCTATCTTCAATTGAAATTAGGGTTCCCCGTTTTCGTTGTAGGCGGCTAGATACGACGATCTTGACGACATCAAAGGCTTGGTGTCGGATGGTGTTCCTCTCAATTCTAAGGATTCATTCGGAAGGACAGGTTAGTTGTGGGTCTCTGGTCGACTTGCTCTTTATGATTGTTGTACAACTTTGAATATGAGATACTCTGTTCTATGGCACATAGTTGAGTGCTTATTTGTAGACTGTACTGTTTGAATTACTTGTCTTGTAGTAACTGGTAGGCTAATCAAAACGAAATATGGATTCTATTACTCTGCAATCTGCATTGGTATGGTGATAAAACCCTGTGTTAGAACATTTTGTGAACAGATATGTTACGTTCTTGTAGTTCAAAGGGGTTGGTATGTGAGGCATTTCGTATGGAAGGAAAAGTACATTACGAGATTAGACTAACGGAGAATGCTTGACAACTACTGATTCTTGCTTCAAGATTTTGTGAACTGCTTGCATATCCAAGTGTATTTATCGTCTATCAGCAAGATGCTATGAAAATGCAGAATGCCTGTTTCATGCCTTAGACTGACATGGCTGAATGCAGAAGTTTACAGGACTTAATAACAGTTGTCGCTGCTTCATTGTTTCTTTCTACGTACATCAAAGAATTGTTAAGAGAATTTCAATGAAATGTTGGTGCTGTTTGTCTTGCTTACTTCTACTTTTAGGAAACCTGTAGGGAGATCTTTTGGAAAGGCGAAAATGTATTTGAATAGGAGTCTGAACTTCTGATGAGCTCTGTACAGCTCTAGCAATGTTTGACTTGCTCTGATATTGGGTTGCAGCTCTTCATATGGCTGCTGCTAATGGTCATCTTCAAATCGTCAAGTATCTTATTGATCAAGGAGTGGTAGGTTATTATCATTATCTTGAGATTATCTTCGAAGCTGATTATTGCTAAATAGAATACATCAATCTCTTTCTCCTCATTTCTTCTTTTGCTTTTGTCTACTTATTAACTCTGCATCAGATTCCGGTCTAAAGAAATCTCCGCACTGATTGAATACTTAGTTTTGGTATAGACTATCTATGACAGTACTCTTAATCTCACGAGGCGAACCATCACCAATGACCAGACAATAGTTTCTTTCAAACATCATGCGCTGTGATCCTAGTTCTTGTCATCAATTGTCTATAACAGCTGAATTCATGGCATGGTTCCTTGCTTTGGCAAAAAATTTTGCCTTCATCTCCAACCATATCTCAATTTCCTTATCATAGTAAATTTCATTCCTTGAATTTGGGTTTTCGAAGAAATCATGTTTAGTTGCAGACACTTGTTCCATGCAGGATGTTAATGCTTCCAACGAGGAGAAGAATACAGCCCTTCATTGGGCTTGCCTGAATGGCCACAGCGAGGTAATCAATTGGCATTGCCCATCACTACATGCCATCGTCTTCCTATTTTTGCATATTCTTATGCATTCTAATTACAGGTTGTGAAGAAGCTGATCTTGGCTGGAGCTAGTTTATGCAGTCTCAACAGGTTTAGTCTCTTACTCGCTTGTTTGTTTATCAATTCAAGGCCCTTTCCTAATGTGTGTCTCCTTGTGAACCAATCATCAGCCATGAGAGGACTCCCATGGACGAAGCCGTTACCCGGGGCAAAATGGACGTTGTCGATTCGATTAATGAGGCTGTAGCACAACGGGAGCTATCTGGTGTCGCAGTTTCCTGAAGGCACGAGTCCTTTTCTCTCGTATTACAGCCAAAGCATGTTTAACAGAGTTGCAGCAACTTAATTTAGATACTTTGTTCGTTTCCATGGCTGTGCGATGTTACATTAGTTTTAATCATATGTTGGTGGACTTTTGGCCACAACCATCAGGCGTAGAATATCAGCGAAGCATTGCATCAATAGGTTCCCTGTTGGCTTCAAGGGTATTTTGGCGCGCTTTTTGTCGCTGAATTTTCTCTTTGTAGCAATTTTGTCAAATACACTAGTATTGTATTTGGTGCTTCTTGGTAACCTAAACGTCGAAATGCAGCATCACCAAATGGAAAAGGTAATAATGTTTCCGGTACATAATCGTTGTTGATCGACAAAGTAGGATTGTTGAGTATTTAATCATTTGGTCACTCCAAGTATGCGTTCATGATCATATAGTTGTTCACTGTCAACCGGATGGGAATCCTATGTGCTATATTCAGAACCTTGTTTAAGAAATGCACAAAATGATCCATAGTTGAACCCTTTTACTAGTTGATTAGAAATCCTTGTTGGACGAGGATTTGTGATTAGACTTGAAAATCCGAGTCTAATTCTAAGAGAGAGAGAAACTTGGGTTACCAACCGCCATAGTTAGTAAAATACGGTACGGGAAAGTTACGTAAAAGATACGTACGGGCATTATACTTCATCTTTAAGCTAAAATTACGTTTAATAGTACGTTAATAGTCATAAATATATAAAATTAATCATTTTAAAAATAAATAAATATATAAATAATAGTAAAGTTAACAATTTAATTCGTAAAATACGGATAATAAACGTGTTATACGGGTTTTATACGTGTTTAGTACGGGAACCATGAAATGAACGGGGGAAAATGAAACGGCTTGACAATAATACGGATACGGAAGTTTTAAACGGATAAAGTACGTACGGGTACATATACGTGTATTAAACGGAGTATTTACTAACTATGCCAACCGCCAATCGAAGAGCTTCTGGTTAATTTCTTTCACGAACATTTATATGCGTTATTTGTTACTGTCTCTTTTTATAATAATCCACATATAATTGTCAATGCCGTCGAGCAAGGTTGCAGAGAAATTTCTCAAAAATATAATACGAGATATCTTATGATTGATTAGCTCTCTTGAAATAGTACAGAATCGTTAAAGGCACCCCTAAATAGTCTCCTCATACTTCGGGCGCTTAAGTAGAGGACAAAATCATCAGTTTGAAAATGTGTGGAAAATTGACCATCATCTCTTAGCTAGAAATGATGATCGATTTTCACATCCGAATCAAACCCACAACGTTAAGGAGTTCGCCTAGTAAACATCTATTATACCCTGAGTTCGAACCTTGAGATCAACAATCAACGAAAAAGAATCAAACCCCACAACACGATTGATAATATAATGATACATAAAACTAAAGACACATGGAGGTGGTAATGACTCAGGTCATGGTCAAATAAATGAAATCTTCAACAATCTCTTCTGGAGAAGAAGAAAAAAAAATTAGATGAAAGGGATGAATCAAGAACCCTTCAAGCAGATGATTGCGGCAGTCGGCGGTTTCTTCAAGGATCAGCCAACTGCTCTATTAAGATATTTTCTAATTATCCATTTGTATTATATGTAACTTAATTAGTTTAAAATATCAGCTGCTGATAAAATCACTGCATGGCCATATCGGTATAGTTTGGTATCTGTCGTTGTTAATGTAGTCGTTACTTGTTAGAGTAACTCGCCTGTCTGTATATATAAAGAAATCGTTAATAATATTGTGACATGGCCAATTTGACGAATAAAAGACTCGCAAGACACAAATGTTGGATATGGCCACTGATCCACCACTTGAAATTGCAGCGCAATTAAATTAGTCAACGCGTTATGTTTTCGTTGTTTGTTTCAAAATTGTTCCAATAATCAACTTTTTGAGCTCGATTGTTATGCACTTATGCTTATAGTTATCGGAATGTGTAGTTTGAATATAATGATACAAATTCAATTTGTATCTATATATTTTCGTAAAAAAACTTTCTATCATACAAATTAAATTTATATACTTAACATTATAGAACAAATTCAGTTTGTAACCATATATTTTTTTAATAAATTTATTTATAATACAAAGTGAATTTGTACTTCCATAGTATATGTGCTTATGAGTATTATAAAATTCCTCTCAGCTTTTATATATATCAACAAATTGTTCGGTTCATTTATGACATTTTTTCCCCTTTGCTTTTTATTCATGGTTGAAGAAAGGATTTATATAAACATTGTTACCCGATTTCATCTCACGAATAAGACAGCGTAGTGCTCGCCTTTGACAATAACGATGATGTGCATGCACAATATCATCTCAGCGAATCTTGTTGAAAGGGTAATTTTGAATCTATACACTTGTTGACATTAGCTTGATAGTACGATCCGATTGTACGTACGTAATGAGAGGAATTCGTAGCTAAAATGATAATTTTTACGAATATGATTTTACCCTCCCGTATATAAATGTCAGTACTAATTAAAAAACGTTGAATTATGAACGAGCCAAATCAAATCTTGCCATCTGATATCCTACACATTCTGTTTTTTTATGCATCATGATCAGAAACCTCTTAGGTAGCTTCCTCGTCAGATTATCGTATATTCATCGACATGCATGCAGCAAATCGACATGCAAAGCACGTGCAAAATTAAACTTCAATTTCTCTAACCTCCCCTCTCCTGCTTCGTATACAATAACAGTATATATGCGCAGTGGCAAAAATTTGTCAACGGGAGCAACAATTTCAAATTTATTGCACGAATTTGTATTTTCGGAGTGCTTATTACTATTGGAACACAAATTAGCGTACACTAGGTTATCTTTGAATCCCACTAAACCATATTAATTCCTAGCTACGCCACCCGATGCAAATGCTATGTAGATCCCCTAATGTAGTCTTAATTAAACTCATGTTCGATAATCTTTGGATGCTTAGATTTCCAAAATTCGAGATATTTAAGGTTTCATTATATAGTTTTTTTTATATGAGTTAGATTTCACCCCGGTCCAAAAGGTTTTCAAAATTGCTTATATATGTGTATGAGAAGTAAAATTTTAAATATGAAAATTAGTTAATTGAAGTTTATGTTGTTTATATTTAACATAATATAATTATGGTAGATATTTATGATAACTTTCATGATCTATATAAATTTACGTTTTTACAATTGAATTGGTTAGAGACTTCAAGTGCGATTGTTAAGTTGTACGAAATCTAACTGTCGAGCACTTCTACTATGTTATATAGCATTGGTGCTTTAATGTACAACTTAAAGTTGTACCATAATATTAAATATATAAGTTTAGATTGTACCATAAAGCAATTTGTACCATTATGTTATGGTACAACTTTACAACTTGAAGTTGTACCATCACGTAAAGGTCCAAGTTCAAGTTGTACCATAAAAGAATTTGTACAAAAAGTATAGGTACAATCTGAAGTTGTACAATAACATAAATGTACAATTTAAAATTGTACCATAAAAGCGAAAACCCATACCACCAATACTGTATATCATTGTAAAATTTCTCCTAACCGTCAGCCAAATCAGAACTTTTTGGATAGAGCCATCAGAATCGGTCCAATCGACGGACGGTTTTACTGCATTATTGATTGTGGTACCGTTGGGAGATTATGGTCCTATATATAGTAGACTAAAACACCATTGCAAGTTGGTGCTGTAATTATACAGTAAAGCGTCATTGTACATTGAACACGCAGATGAAGTTAATCAAAGCCTTTTTATTTAAATTTTGCCTTCTCCATTTCCAGGCAAAGACTATATGGTTGACTTTGTCTCCATTCGGATTATCGATATGGAGATAAAGTGCATGTTTTTTCTTCTTCAAGCTTCCCCACCACTTTCTCAGAAAGGGCCAAAATAAAATTGGAGAGAGAGAGAGAGAGGACGTCACCAACGCAAGATGCACACTGATTATCGACGGGGGATTTTTTCAACGACCCGCAATATTTGACTCTTCCGCCTCTCCCTTTAATTATCATCACATGGCACAATCTAGTTCTAAATTGTGTAATTAAATAACGAGCAAATTAATCAAACACCTAACATCCAAAGATCACCACACCAGTGAAGTCCCCGAATTTTGCAAAAACAGGAAAAATTCACTCCACGGACATTAATTGTGATGCACTACATAATGTAACAAATTTCACAACCTACTGATGAAAGTATATGCTTGAAGTTCGGACAAACACGTCGTCATATTTAAATATGGAATATATCTTCATCAAAGACAAACTATAGATGTGAACTCTGCAATAGAGTAATCGTATCTTTTATTGCGCATTCAATTATTTGTATCAGACACGAGATTGCTCAATCAAATACTATAATATATATACCATGTTATATGAATTGGATAGTCTGAAAAAGCTTGGTTTGCATCTATGAATGTTCTCCAAAATACCAACAACAACAACAACAACAAAAACCTTTCATTTAGAAATGTTGAGGCATAAATGTGAAGTCCCCCCAAGTTTTATGCATCTCATTGATATAAACCATAAAGATAAATGAGAAAAGGACAATGGCTGACTTTTTTCCCCCATATATTAATGGCCACTTCCTTGCAAACATTTGGATCTATCCATAATCCATCGATCTATCTTCTTCTCTCTCAAACATGGGAAACGTCAACATATCTCCAGCTTCCTGCTTCCAACTCTGTTCACCACCCAAATCCGTCTCACTCATCTTCTGGGACGGCACAACCACCGCCCTCGCCCCCTCCGGCCGCCGCCGCGGCAAGCTCATCGCCGGCCAAATCATGGTAGAACATCCCGACAAGTTGGTGTGCAACTCGGAATCCTTCTTCCTCGGCCACCCGATCCCCGCCTTGTCCATCCACGACGAGCTCTTGCCCGGTCAAACCTACCTCGTCCTCCCCGTTGACCTCTTCGCTTGCACCAAAGTCCTAAGCGCTTCCTCTCTCGCCGCCTTCACCGCCGCTGCCGCCGGAAGCCCTAACAACAAGACCCCGCTGGTCAACGGCGGGTGCCAGCCGCTTCAGTACCTAAAAGGGTCAAACGGCGGCGTTTTGATCAAGGTGGCGCCCGAGTTTATGATCAGGCTCCTGTTGAAAGTTGGGAGAGATGAAAACGGTGAGGGGAGTAACGGTTTTCTTTGTAGCACGCCGGAGCTGAAGAAGCATTACGATCAGCTGGTTGGGTGTAGAGAGCAAAAGTGGTCGCCGAAGGTGGAGACGATTTCGGAGTACAAAGTTCGGTACTCGCCGTGCCGGTTTATAGGGTTGGAGTGGAAGCAGAAAGAGGAACAGTAT